TATTACTTTATAGGACATTCAATTGTTGGAATTTGAAAAATGAAATTTGTTTACAATGAAGGTGAACAAAACGAAAAGTTTTCAATACAAAAGAAACAATATAAACCTGGGAATATGCACGACATAAAACACAGTTCCAATAAATTTTACAGATGAGATCAGATGCCAGTGAGGGGTAACCATCCCCTGTTGACCTGTCAATTGGCAGTAAGCCGTATGTATGATCAGACAGGAGGGAAGACAATTTTAGTATAGAAAAAAGGTAATAACAATTGCCAAACATATCTGCTTACTATATCAATATAATAATCATAGACGTTACGAAATGCTGACTTTCCCATCCAGGTTGTTGATATCCCTTTACATCAACATTTTAGCCATGCAGCAGCCTGCTTTGCTTTAAAATTAATTGTACTCAGAGCACGCTCTTGGGGATCGTATAATTACCTTGGGAAACGTCAACGACATATATAGGTAACAGCGGAATATAATTTACTTCATAAATAAGAAATACTGTACTGACAATGGAAAAGTTGAAGACATCTCGTTTGTCAGATAATTTGGTACTTTTTCTGGCCCTTATCGTCTATAGTACGTATTTGACACCCAATATGACACAGCTGCGACAGGCTCTGTGGTGATGTATCGAGTAGACATACAACTGATGTAATTTAGTTGATATATCTTGATGTCGAGTTGAAGGACAATGTTTTCTTTTACATTTACTCTTATAGCGGTTTTCGAGAAAAAAAAATCTGCTTCATAAAAAATAAACACAGGTAGGCTATTAAAGGATCAATATAAGCTCCTAATTTGTTGGAAAATTGATGTCAGTTTTTTGGAAAAGACTACAAAAATGTTGACAAGTGGTTCCTAATTTGTTGGAACATTAGTTCTATTTATTTTTTTATTTTCTCGTGATATTTGGAATATTCTTTATCACTAAAAGGCCCAGTCTTGTATTCCACGATATTTCAAGTTAAAGACTACACCTTGTATTTCCTACAAATATATATGGACTTTTGCTTCCAAACTTTTTATTTACAAGAAAACTTTACAGGACCTGGATATCGAATATCTGAAACAAAATCCTCTATATTTGTGTTTATGTTCTTCTTCAACCTATAACTATAGTCCTGCTGGACACATTATTACTGGTGATGTAAATGCAGTTAAAAATGAGAACCTTAGATCACTAATTTTGAAAGGTCCTAAATATAGGGAGCCCCGATCCTTCAAATGGCGTCGGAATTTCATAAATATTATGGATTCTGTTGAAAATTACACCAGCTGATGGGCCAGATATGAAAAAGAAGACGTTGACACTTTGCCAGAATGGATTAAATGTATCAGATCTATATTGAAATCGCATATTAAACGATTGAGGGACAATATGAAAACCCTCTATCCTACAGTATTCAATAATCTAGAAGTGAATAAAGAATTAGATACTAGATTACATGATCAGTACGTACTGGTCCCTGTTGACAAAGCAAGGAACATCATTTTCTTTGTTAGTAAGGCTCATTACATAAAATGGATTTTAGACGAAACTTGGATTTAATTCTACAAGTGGTAATCCAACTTATACTAACACATGAGTGTAGTTCCCTTTCTAAGGAAGAAATTCTTCAAAAACATATATCAGTTTTGAATCTTTTTATCCAAACAACCAAAATGAATTTGAATTATATACCATATCTATAGGGCCTATTGGATTCTGAACCTTCATAAAAATCATTTAAACATAGCGGGTTCCAGTAAATATTCAACCAAGCCTGTTTCTTTTCTTCTGACTAAGATATTAACAGTAACGAAGAAGTTTCAAGGGTGCTGAGCAACAATATATTCAAGAAGTGGTGTATATCAGATGTGGATTCTTAAAAATTCTAAGGAACCTTTGGATAATTTGAAATAACAAGATTTTACCAAAATCAACAGCTTAAAAACTTACGACTTTTCAACTTTATACACAACCATTCCGCAGGATAAACTAAGACCAGGCTTTTGAAATCATTGACAGGTGCTTTTTCAATAAAATGGAACTCGTAAATTTACTTACCTGGTCATTGGTCATTTGCAAAATTATCTTAATAACAAACATACTGATAGTACACACAAGTACTCTGAAGTTGACATTAAAAAAATGCTCGAGTTTCTGATTGACAATATCTATGCGGTTTTTGGAGACCAGGTCTTCCAACAATCTATTGAAATCCCCAAGGGTGCAAATTGCAACATTTCCCGTTATTAACAGACCTAATTTTGTATTCATATGAAGCAGAATTTGTCCAAAATCTTATTCGTGAAAACAAGAGAACACTTGCTATGGTCTTCAACTCGACATTTAGATACTAGTTTATCGACGACGTACTGACATAGTGACAATTAACAATGGGGTTTTTCCATTCTTATGTGATACGATATATTTCGGTGAGCTTGTGTTTAAAGATGGCATAGAGTTAAAACACATTTGTTTCATATTTGGATATTTTACTTGAAAAAAAAAAGACGTTAATAGTTATCTATAACAATCAAGCTTTATGAGAAACATGAATACTTTAATTTTTTGAATTTTAGATAATGCTGTTTCTCATTAACAGGAGTTAAATTTTTTTTAGGAATAATGATAAGGGTTAGTCGCAAGACGCCTGCAATGTATTTTTGTTCGTAACGATGAAGTGTAGGAATTACTAGTATGTGTTGAGCAACATCCATAAACATCATTCTGTATTCTGCAGTTCAAAAATCCGATAAGGACTTTCTTAAGTTCTTTAAATATTCCATTGAAAAATCTTAAAGGAATCGAGTTAACTTAAGTGCGAATGAAATGATGACTTACTATGATGCGATTGTACGTCAAGTCATCATGTATATTTAAATTGGTCTATTGGATGATCGATGTCCATTACTACGCCTACATCTCTTGATGTGTTGTTAAAAAGTTCCATCAAATTCATTTTGTGGGCTTGAAAATTTTCCTCTATCATTTATGTGGTCATTGCAACCATATGGAAACGCAAAACCTAGTTTTCTTATCCAGGATTTTTTTTTAAATTTACTATAAACGGGTATATTATTCAAAGTGGAACTAAAAATTCAGTGATATAATTTGAAAATTCTAAGTCTCATTGAAAGAAGAGAACGGACAGGCAAATTGAATCAATTTTAAAAATGTTGTGTTCCCCCATTATTTAATTCAAACGTTCGCCCAGATATTTCCTTATTATGTTAACGTATAATTGGTTGTATTCGGTAAAATTTAATATTCTTTTTAAATAGTCAGGATACATAAAGCGCACTTCATTTTTTTTTAAATTCATTTAACTCGCATAACATCTCTTAAATGTCTGTCTTTTTGCAGTTAAAATGATTAATATTATTAAAATTTAAAGAAAGACGAAAAAAGTAGTAAATTTGATAAGTTTACAAGAGACTCTATACACCAAGTAACACGAGTTTTAGTGCAAGATTGATGTACATAGCACCTATGAAATATTTGCAGTTTAAACTGATCCTAAAAGAAGAAAAATACACATTGAAGAACCAATGTCTGCACCTACACCCTACACGTTAAATGGCACTTTGACCTGACACTCCAAAAATTCCTAAGAAGAACGTCGATTTGAAAGAAATATTTCGCCAACGCGCTTGCAAATCAAATATGCATGGGAATAGAATAATTTGTTGCCTAAGATGAAAATATTTATTCCAAAATTAAAGAATTCTATTAGAGAAAAATAAATTTAAAATCTTTTAAAAAAAGTCGACCCATCCCTCACTACTGATTTTTAAAAGCGTCGACTGACATGAATGAATAAGCATATCTTCAAGGGCGCTCTAATGTAGAAAAAAAAGTATAATGCGCGATATCTGATAAACCTACAAACAAAACCTTACGTGATTTAAAAAATGCAATCTCTAAAGATGATAGAAGAGTTTTAAGGTAAGTCCGAACCTGCATTTCTATCCAAAATTCTTGTATTGAAAATCATACAGCATAGGAATGCACTGTTTATTTCCTTTCTGTATGACTGCAACAAGTTGTAAATGAAATTTTTCCTACAGTAACTCGACGAAATTTTAGAAGCTCTTTGTCCTCTATATAGGTGTGCGTTTATGTTACGTAATTGATGTTTATATTGCTAATCACCTGAATTCATGAATGTACATTGAAAACCCTACATAGGGAATATTATATTAGGAATGTATAGATTTTCATGATTATTCAGAATTGATAATTCATTTTCAATACCGCTTTTAAGCTGCCATAAAAAAAGATTTTATGATGTCTTTTAATCTTAAATTGAATCCTTTCCGGTCATTTTAACTTAATTATTATTTTACTGTGATCCATCCTACATTTAACATGTATAACATCTTTCCGTTAAAAACCTGGAACAGAAAGTTTTCATTTCTACTGTAACACCTCGGTCATGTTTAACTACTTAGAAACACAAATAGAAAGGGAGATTTCTCACATTTATCAGTAATTTAATCATTAAAACCAGACTTAAGGATACATGACGCAAACATGAATTTGATGCATGGACTGATAAATATCTTTCGACTGATTTTGAATTGAAATTAAAAAAGTAATATGAGCCACTTAAACATTTAGAAATATGTGCGATTTATACAAAATTTTGCATATTTTTGTAACATTGTGGAAAAGTCTTAGAGATTCAGGTTACTTGTTTGAATATGAATCTATGAGAAATATTGCTGATAACTGAAAAAAATTGTTAATTGTCGTTAAATAATTTTCCTAGAATAACACGTGAAATATTATTAGTACAAAACGACTGTAACGCATTAGAAATTATTTCATATTATTCATATATACATAATCATGTTTATTTTTTTTTCCAAACAATATAGCACTGTATTCGATACATACACACTGTATATCAAATGATACAAATTGATTTAATTTGACAGATATATTCTTAAAAAGTAACTTGATGATAAATAGTACATGTAGTTTGTTTTAAGCAATCATAGCAAGACACAAACATAGCTGAATACATTAGTAATCCAAGGATGGTTATCGAAAATAAAGTTTGCTTGTGGGTATATCTACCAATTTACCTTCATGAGTGAAATCGACCAGAGAAGCTTTTAATTTTGTGGAAGATTGACTTCTAATATATCTTTTATAAGGCCATTCCAAGTTTTTTCTCTGTTTAGCGTCCACTCATCTTTCAAAAACCTACCTACCTATTCGCAAAAAACACACAAGCCAAAACATAAAACACAAGCTTAAAATTCATAAAAATGACGTCCTTCAAATGATTTGATCTAACTAAACTGCTTTAATACAAGAAATATCTATTTTAAAGCAAAAACAACGGATTAAATGCTTACAATACACCCAATATAACTTACTGTACAGAATTATTTGGAGAAATGTACAAAATTAAAAAAATTTCGACTAAATTCATCAATTTCAGGACTCCTTTTGTTGTGTGTTTTTTCTCATATGGGGTGTCAAAAAACAAGGCGCACGCGGTCGCTAAACATAGAAAAAAAAACTTGGAATGGCCTACTGGTCATCAAGTGCAGTATCATAACTTATTAGCTAGAATAATCCACACCCATGTAGGTTGTACTTAATATATTTTAAGACATAACGCCAAATTTTCTATTTTAATAAAAATATTGTGGGAAGCCAATATTGTTCAGTTGAAATTGTTACACTGTTTTGAGTCACTGGTGCGTATAATGCTGGTAGAAGATTTCACTTTAAATTCCGATGTGTATCTATATGAATGTTTTATGAATCTCATATCTCCATTCTTCTGAACATTTAAAGGTAAGATTATAAAGAATTCATTTATTTTCAAAATATCTTTAACTTAAAGTTATGCTCACGGATTACATACCAATCTGCATTTTTGTTAAAGTGCATTTTTGTGAAGGAAAAACATATTTTATTTATTTATTTTTTTATGAGAAGGTTTACGATTATATTGAGGCAAGGGAACAGAAACAGAAGCCTTCCTTCTTATCTGTAAGTTTCATAACTCTTTTTGTTTCTGTGATTTTGTTACATTTAGAAGTTCTCCTTAATTTACATTGTATATAACTTATATATATATATCACTAACATTAACTGGTTTTTGTTCTAATTCACTCAAAGAAGAGAAAATGTGTGTTTTTTAATGCATACAGAATACCGATATATATATTTTTTTTGCAGATTGAAGAAACCACTCTAGAGGTTTAAAAAATATGGGTTAAATTTTATTTTGGCATTTCTTATTGCTACTATAAACAAACAATATATGTTTTGTGTCTTTTATGCTAAATCCGGGTACCCATCCTTCGGCCCGTTATATGCTTTGTCTTTATCGTTTAAAGATCAGTTCTATTTCAGGTGACGAGTGTGGCTGTCGGATGCAATGGCTCCAGAGATCCCCTCCTTGTTACTAGCTGTGGTCGCCATCGTCTGTACGATACTCCTCCTCGGGATAACAAAACTACGTAGAAATTCTAAAGGGTAAGAGTTTCTGCATCTCTGATGAAATATGGAAATGTTCATTTCTCAACAACATTATCTCATGTCTAATTTTTTCTTTTAATATTCTGTTCATCAAAAGAAGTCAAATTTCTAGATGAAGAAAGGAAATAATTTTAAATTATGAGCAGACATGGAAAGTGTTTATGAAATGCCAAAATTCTAAATCTTTTGAATTACTAGTACCAAAGAATTATCACACATTTGATTTTAAACCACAAAATGACTTCTATTTATTTGGAACTTATACCTGCATATATAAATAATTTGCTTGTGATTAGAGAACAAAATTACTTAGATAATACATCTTTAAATTATATGTGCACATAACCTAACATAAGCTCACCTGAGTTGAAAGCTCAGGTACACAAAAATTCACATTTTGAAGTTGTTTAATTTTGTTAAGTTACACCGTTTAGGTAGAAAAAGGTATAGATGATACTTCTAGGTAGTAATGTGTCTTAAAATCAATTTGAAATATATACATGAAAATCTCTCTGAATTTTCCAAGAATTATTATCTATCTTAGGGTTTTGACAGCCAGAATCAATACTTCATATCTAGGTTTATTGTCATTTTGAAACTTGAGATAAGTGAAAATTGCAGTAAATGAAAGAGCAAACGATCTTCTAATTCACAGATAGCTAATGTATACCTGTATACCTCGCTGTGCTGGATAGAAATATCGGTCAGTCGTCTTTTTCAGAGCTTCTAGAACAGAAATTGAAAAGAACTTATTGCATCTGTTTTCATAAGAAAACTAGGAAGATAATTTCAAAGTAAAAATATATAGCCACTTAATTGTACCTTCATGGAAAAGAATATGGTCAGATAAATATCTGTCCGAATTTCCTTTCCAATAGAGATTAAGCTTCCCATAGCTTCTCAAAATTATGACTATAACTTCTCAGAATTATACAACATGAAATAGAAATTGTAATTTGAGTTCGAAATCTTACAGGAACGTGAAATCATCTGCTTTTCTGCTTCTCAAATATGACTCTGCTCCGAAAATAAAACGACCAGTTTCATTCATTGGCAAGACCAGTGGGATCTGGTGTGACAATCGAACACATTTGAATCTGACATATTGACATTGCTGCCACATTATAACAACATTGATTTCTAAGCAGGTTCTCAACATTTTCATACCAGGGTATTCTGATGATATACTCTTCAAAAAAAGAAACGTATAGTAGGAACAATGCCCTGAAAAATGTATGATAGTTTGTCGTACCTTTTATTTTTGTATTGATACGATGTATTCGAGTGAAATTCATATGATTTTTTAATGCAATTGTTAACTTTACATATTGAAATATCACAGACAAAAAACAGATTTTGCAAAATTTCCCCCAAAAGTTTTCTTAATTTTCATTTGTTGAATTCCGATGGAATTCCTTCAGTTTACAAAGGGGCTATCAAAAGCGGGGTACTTTTACACTGGTTTTATCTTAAAAATGACGCTTCCTAAAATTGCTGCATCTGAATGTTGTCAAAAAGGAAAACCATTCATTATCAAATAGACAATTGCAAGAAAATGTTACACACAGACGACATCTCACCTATAAAACATAAACCATTAACATTGAACACCCAATATTCGCAAAAAATATGGTAGACTACGTGTGACATCAGCAGCACAGCATCACTTCCGAGGATTATACAAATTGCATGAATGTAATGCAAGGACGTCATCTTAAGCATTAGCTATCCCTGAACTGCACAGGTCATCGAACGAGACCGTTTTCAGTTGACTACGAATTATTGCAAGTGGATTATTCATGCCATTGTTCCGACCCCACAACACCCCAAATATCGACTTCAAAGATCTCAGATGAATAGAGTATGACCACAGCATCACTGCTGAACATTTTGGTTAACAAGAATGTTTATCTGAAAGCCTCTTATAAGTTTAAGAGTGCTAATGCTTTTTAATCAAGGTAATATAGGTAACTGCCTCCAGGACGTTAAAAAAGTTGGTGGTGGTAGTGTAATGATATGGAAAATGGTATTATGAGATAGTAAGATTGATTTGGTTCAAATTCAATGGACTTTGGTGGAAAAAGGTATTCTAACCATGTTCTACCTATACATACCCATTCAATTTCGCAGCATCCTAGAGCCGTATCGCAATCTCACAATACACAGCCACATATGGCTCGTTTGACACACCTATTCTTGCAAAAAACAACAACCTGTTTCAGTCACAGTCATCTAAATCGCTAGATTTAATCCAAATTAAACAGCAATGGACAAAATGAATTGACAAGATTTGCCAAAGACAATCGCATCCCCAGGCTCTGCAACAGCTGACTTAAGTTCTACATTTGGAGTGGGAGAGTATTCCTATACAGTTTTTATTATACACATTTGCTTCCATTAGATGCCGTTTGTGGCTATCATTTGTGTCTGCGGGGGGCATACCAGATATTGATCTTTAATAGTCTTAAACTGACTATAATTTTAAAATTGCTGAGTAATTATGACATTTAGATAGTATTCCTGTTGCTTACCACATTTCTGTTTTATCAATGCATCATTTTACTAAATAATGTTTATGTTCAATGTGTCACTTAAATTCTACGATGCCTTTCTTTTTTTGAAGAGTATACTTGAGAAAGATATATTACGCTGCATAAGAGTAATGGCGTTGCGATGATATTACGATTGTAATTTTAACAGTTCATTTGAAATATCAAGATGAAAACAATAAAAATATGTCATGTTTTCTTATTTTCTTACTCCAGAATTCAATCGTTTCCCAAGGACGTGGTACTTTTACACCATTGTGGAAAAGGGCCCTATGTTCCTAGCTTGTCACCATTCATTATCAAACTAGAAACATTTCTAAAAATGGCAGGCATCCCTTACCAAGTAAGTATAGAAATTTCCCAATGGACGTTGCGCTTGACTACTGTTCGTTATATGTTTTTCAGAGTGTCTTTGGTTAGAAGTGAGTGATTTTTATCAAGGTTACTTAAAACGTTGTTGGACCAAGAACAAGAAACGAAAATATCCATTATCCTTTTTCATTCAGGAAATAGTTGTCCATGTTACATGTATGATATATAAAAAAAGATTCTGAAACTAGAGTCTTCAATTTGTCGTGAGGAATTGTTGTATGAAGTATAGAAAAAAAGTGGTGCTCTTTTGGAGTTCATGACTTATAAAAAAAGTTGTGATTCTAAATTATTTATAAGTCTTTTGGGATTTTCAAGATCGAATCCATATATGATTTGCACCATTTCTAAAATAATGCTTAAGCAGAGTACGTCCGTAGTTTCTCCCTCAAAGGGAATAAAGATAGCATATCATTGAGCATTTGCTTTGTATTTTGTTTAAAAGCATTCTGATTGTACACAAAAGTACTCTAAAATTGATATATAAAAAAAAGATGTTGGAGTTTCTGATTGACTGTATCACTGAATTTTTTGGAGATCAGTTTTTCAAACAATCTATTGGAATACCCACGGGTGCCAATTTCGCCCCTTTGACCTATTTTTGCATGCACATAAAGCAGAATTTATTTAAAACTTTTTAATGAAAGGAAAACAATTGATGTTGCCTGCAAATCGACATTTCGAAACTGGTAAATCGACAAAGTGTCATCAATTAACAATAGTTACTTCCAATAAAATCATATTTCAACTCAATATATGCCAGTGAACTCGCAAAAAAGATACCTCACAACCTGAAACATATGTTTCATATTTGAACATTTTACTAGGAAAAGCCTTTAATGGTAACTTAACAGGCAAGATTTATAATGAATATAATGACTTCAACTTTTCGATCGTCCACTACCCTACCTTATATAGTAACACGCCCTTTAGCGCATTGTCAGTGGATTCGATATGCAAGAGCATGCTCTACGTATGAGATAGTTCTAAAACGAGACAAGTTTTTGCTAATCAAGTTGATGAAACAAGGATATCAGCAGTCTCGTTTAAAGTAGTTATATCGCAATTATTTGGGTCGATACGATGAGCTTGTCAGCAAATAAAACCTATTATTGAGTCTAATACTGACTGACATTTTTTGTACTAATTTTACGTCCATTATTTTCACACTGAATTGTCTACTTTTTTTTATCTCGTTTTTTCTCGATAATTACAAGGTGTGGTCGGTAGGGGATGCTCACTCCTCGGTCGCAGGTGATCCAGACTCTTATGTTGCGGAGGTCTGTTTTTGCTCTTCTTCTTATTGAATGGCCTTTTTGAGATTGAAAACTGTTAATTATCTTCCTATGTTATACTTGAGGAATTTCATCCTTTGAAATTGAATTGTGATTTTTTAAAAATCTTTTATCATCTGTAAAAACAGTAATTTTGTGAAAACGCAAGGGTAGATGGTTTTCATATTGCATATTTTCATACGGTTCCGATGAAATATTCTCTTCTATACTGCCCATGAGAGCCTTATTGCAGATTTTTATTTCACAAAATTATGATCCATATGCTAATATAATTGTACATATATAGATAGTTCGAGATTATAAACTCGGACCGAAGGGTAAAGTGCCATGGATGGAATACAATGGGAAGGCTATGGGAGACTCTCAGCTCTGTATGGAGTACCTAACAGAAGAACTGAATGTTGACATAGACGACCATCTGTCCACAACAGAAAGAGCCATAGGGACGTCATTCCAGCGAATGGTGGATGAACATACTTATTGGTGAGAGATAATATAATCCAATGCTGCAAAAATGTATAAGAAAAATATTAATGCTTTTACTGCCCGCATAAACGGAAATTAAAAAGCATATCAGAACTCTTTTTTTGAAGAATAGACATGTACATGTACTTGAAAAATTTATATTAAAAATAGGATCACTTCGTTTATCAGGTTTGCGATCACTTTCTGTACATCATTTTTAAATGCTACCGTTTAATGATATGCATGCCTTTAGCAGTAGGATTGTGACACTTTACCAGGTTGATGGTCCATTGGCGATGGGCCTTTGATAACAAGAAATGTTTAAAACAAGCAAACTGGGGACTCCTGGCTCTGTCTGTCGCTAAATATATCCAGAAAAGGGCAACTTACACACAAGGAGTTGGGAGACACACGAAGCCAGAGTTAATGAACATTCTGAGAAAAGATTTCCGGGCATTGTCTAATTTCCTAGGTAACTTAGAAAGGTTTTTAAAAAAAGGCAAATATGATTTGCAGATTTTCATATCTAAATGTTTAAAAAATTCTTATGGTTATAACTAGAGATAGTTTTAATAAAAGGAAAAAAAGAACCAAAATTGCAGTTATCAGATACTTATAATCGCTGTTTAGAAAAACAGCTATGTATACACTAATAAAAATAAGATAACGTCATATTTCTCTGTTTATGATTTTTTAAACGTTAATATTTTTATTTTCAGGAACAAAAAAATATTTCTTTGGTGATAAGGTTTCTTCCGTGGATTGCAGTATATTTGCACAGTTATCTCAATTTCTTTGGCATTTACCAGAATCTGAGCCAAACATAATGTTAAAAGGTAGAACATTAATATATTTCTGTTTTGTTTGTTTGTTTGTTGTTTTTTTTTTTGTCGTTTAAATAAGATTTTTGTGTTGTTTCTCAATTAAAAAACTCATTATAGTAAAAAAAAAATATTAATGAATAAAATACTCTTTAGAAAAAGATAAAAATAATGTGTACTTGTCTAAAGAATATATCCATTATTTGACGCTGAAAGTTCTGAAAATCTGGTAAAATTAAACTTGAAATAAACATTTCACTAAAAATTAGAAAAAGTTTTAAAAAATCACTAAAAATATTTATGATTTCAATACCTCTATTTGGATATTTGACATCTACAATATAAGTGATGCTGTAATGAAATCTAAAATAAACTGTGGATGTAATGAGGCAACTTCATTTTAAAATCTAATTTTCAAAAAAAGGTAAGAGATAATCAAAAGCTGTTTATTTCAGTATTTATATGTTTCATTTCAGATGAATTTTCTAACTTGTGTGACTACTGCGAACGGATGAAAAGTGCATTATGGAAGGACTGGAATGATAACGTGTTATTTCCAGCTAAAGACACCTAGAATTTTTTAAACTAAATTATATTGTACAATGATGGTTTTTTGTTGTCTGTTGTCCATAAATAACAGTTATTTTTCTTATGTTATTGCAAATATTTCAACATTGGTATATTAGATGAGGATCTCATTGTGATTTTGGTATCAACTACATGTATTTATTCGTCATTATTTTAATCAATGCCTGCTTGAACATTCATGGGATGTAAATTGTATCATTTTATGTTTTTTAAAGATAAATATTTTTGCTGCAACATAGCAAACCTATTTGATCAACCCTGCTTTATGTATACAGCTCAACAAACTTTTTAAGCTCACATGGTTTTTCGCACAAATTAAGGTCACAAATTTTATAATAAAAATTACTATTTTCGAATCTCAGAACGATGACATGGCCGTGCGTTATATTACATATATCATGGCAAGTATAAATGTCCTTTAAAATTACTATCTTAAGTTTCCAAAGTGGATGTTTCAGAGGGGAATTTATCAATAAATGGTACGATGTTTGTACTATAGGCCTCTACCATACGTTATTTACAAATAATATAAAACGTGATTTCTTTGATACAATGTAGTTGAACATTTTAAAATTTCTTCTTACAGGTGAGTATTTTTTTATAAAAATGCTTTGCTCATTTACCATACCCATCTGGGATTTGGCGAAATGTAGCACCGAAAAGAGATAACATTGCAGAAAGAAACCATACTACAGGGTAGGATTATGAAGTATTGTTTATTTTTTAAAATAGTAAATTTTTTCTATAAAAAGGAAAAATTTTATGCATTTACAGTTTGAAACGTTAAAATTTTAGTGTGGGGGTGAATCTTTCATGATTCTAGATTTTAGAAGGTGCCTCTGAAAAATGCCAACTTGTTAACATACAAAGCAGTAAAAAAGATGAAAAACACTTTTATCATCCTGTGCTAAAGAGTCAGATTGTACAGAAAATACAAGTTACAGTAGTTGTACTGTGCCCGTATCTATGTTTCTGCAAAGAGCTACTACATTCAAAGGAACGGACAAAAAAACAGCTGCAATTGGCAAGAAACCACAAAAAAATCAAATTGAAATAGTTGTTATTTTACAGCCAAGAATATATCAAAGTTCTAGCAATTAATTTGTATGAATTATGTTTTGGTAAATGAAATAAAACTCAAATAATGTAAACAAATACTTTTAAAATGTATTTTGATGTCTCAATACTACATTATAACAATGTGACCTTAATTTGTGCGAAAAACGATGTGAGCTTAAAAAGTTTGTTAAGCTGTACATATGATATTCACTGCTTTGTTTTGAACATATTTTTATTTCAAGTAATCAAAAGGATTGGAAACAAGTTCTGTACAACTTACAAAGTTCACTCCTAATATGAAAAAATATTTTCACAGTATCTGTAAGCTTAGTGGTTTATATATACATGTATGTCCATACATGCAGACTAGCGCAAATTTTTACAGTATATGAAAAAAATGAAGGAATGAAGTAAACCCAAAATAAGTGCTTACACATTAACACACGACTCGCATAGTATACATATGTATAATCCTGGCAATTGGCAACATCATCAGCAACAAAATGCTCAAGTTACCGGTATAAATTAATCTACTCAATACTTCTGATTTTTTGTCTTCATCTCTGATTCTCAAGGTGCTTAAGTTCTACTGTTCTGGGAATTCCCAACAGCAAAACTTCACAGAATATATCCATACTTCCATCCTTTTTTATGTATTTCATCTGTCAAATCTTGGTTTTCTTACTGACTGACTTTTTTCATACTGATTTTAGACCATTATTTACATACTGTGTTGTGCACGGAATTTTTCACTGTTTTTTTCCTTCCAAATATGACCAAAAAAAAAAAAAACTCACGGCGAGTTTGATCGGTCGGCACAGGGAAAGGTTTTTTTAATTTGCAAGAACTTGTAACCAATCCTTTTGTATAAATTATACAATAAAATATGTTCAAACAAAAGCACAGGATGCACACTTATCAGTGTTTTGGAGGTTCATGTTTGCTCCGCTCCTATTAGTAATGATTTATAGACTTTTGAGCTCGAATACTGTTCGTGAGAATCTGAAACATCTGTTTCATGCTTGGATATTTTACTTGAAAAAGACGTTAATGGTAATCTAATTACCAAGTTCTATGATAAACGTGATGACTAAATAACTTTCATATCGTCAACTTCCCTTACTTATGCAGCAATATACCTTCATCACCTGCATACGGATTTTATATACAGCTCACCGCACTTTTTAAACTCAGATAGTTTTTCGCACAAATTAAGGTCACATTGTTATAATGCAAAATTGTGTAACATGACAAAATATATTTTAAAAAAGATTTATAACTTAATTTTGATCATATTGCATTACTTTAATTCACACATAATAATTGGTAAGGTTTTTTATATGCTCTTGGATGATATATTCTGAGTGTTTCCAAATGGTTTTTTATAGTTTCTCGTCAAATACAATCGTCTTTGTATCCGTTCATTTTAAAGCATACTTCTGCCTTGCCTTCATACAGAAACAGTGCAGTTCATGTAATTTCTGTATTTTACGTACATTAATATGACACTAAGGCGCATAGAAGTATTTCTCATCTGTTCGACTGCTTTCCTTGTTAAAAATATGACATTTTTTCAGGTTAACTTCCTGAAATCTAGCATCATGAAAGTTACCTACCAACGCAAAATTTCAAAGTTTCAGACCATAAATGTATTAGAAAAATCCTTTTCAATATTTACAATTTACTATGTTGAAAGATAAACAATACTTTATTATCCTATCCTTTCACATGATTTTTTTAATGCAGTTTTGTAATTTTTCGGCGCTGCATTTCGACAAAACCAAGACAAGAATTGACAATGTGCAAAGTACCTAGAAAAATACTCATCTGTTAGAAGAAGGATATGGAAATAACGAACAGTATTCAATCTCAACGTCCATTAAACAATATACAAAATAAGAGCAGAGCAAACACGGACCTCCGAAACATCAGAGGTGGGATCAGGTGCCATGGAGGAGTGAGCATCCCCTGCCGACCGGTCACACCCGCCGTGTGCTCGTTGTCATAATCAGGAAATAACGGGAAAAATCCGTCGTGAATTCAGTGTATAAATAATGGACTAACAATTGGTATGAAAAACGTCAGTCAGCATTTCATTCAATGAAAAATTGTATTTGCTGACAAGGTCATTGTATCGACCATAGAATTTACGAAATGATGACTTTAAACGAGACTGTTGATATTCTTGTTTCATCAACTTGCTTGTCAATAATTTACCTCGTTTAAGAAATTGTTCATGCGTAGAGCATGCTCTTGCGTATCGAATCAACTGAGATATATATACTCCGTATGCAGGTGATGAAGGTATATTGCTGCATAAGTAAGGGAAGTTGACGATAGAAAAGTTAAAGTCATCACGTTTATCATATAGCTTGGTTGTTAGATTACCATTAGTGTCTTTTTCAAGTAAAATATCCAAGTATGAAGCAGAAGTGTATCTTTAATCTCAAGCTCACCAGGATATATCCTGTCGACATAGGAATGGAAATTATCATTATTAATTGACAATACGTCGTCGATATATCTAAATGTCGAGTTGAAGGTCACAGCAAGTGTTTTCTTCTTTTTACGCATAAGATTTTGCATAAATTCTGCTTCATATGAATATAAAAATAAGTCTGCTAATAACGGAGCGCAATTAGTACCCATGGGAATTCCAATAGATTGTTGGAATACCTGGTCTCCAAAAACCACATAGATATTGTCAATCAGAAACTCAAGCATCTTCTTGATGTCAACTTCAGAGTACTTATGTGTGCAATCAGAATCTGCTTTAACAAAATAATTTTTCAAATGACCAATGACGAGGTAAGTAAATTTACGAGTTCCATTTTTGTTGAAGAAGCAGCTGTCAATGATATCAAAAAGCCTGGGGCCCGTTTCACAAAGCCTACTTAGGACTAAGTTATATCTTAGGAAAGAACTTTTTCCTAAGTTCATTACTTATCCGTTTCACTAACCTCGTCTTATCTTAGGATATTCCTAAGTTATGTCATAACTTTAAGACAGGTAAATCGATGACTTAGGAAGAAACTAAATATTGCGGCTGCATATCCATGGTTTCTTATGGAGAGAGAGAATGTGTTTTGAGAGAGAAAATCCAATGAACTACTAGTATATGGATGATTGTGTTCTCTCCATGTTAAAACTGCTTTACTTTGCATGGAATTACTCGGATTTCAATAATTGACAAACAAGTGTCAAAATAATTCCAAGGTATATAAAAATGTCCATTCGCAAAACTGGAGCTGGCGAAACAGATGGTATACACATACTGGAATAATTCCTCATCATTTGAAGAGCACGCATTTGAAAAAAAAAAAAAATAGCTCAAGATCTGATCCATTATTAATTTATTATACATGCATGTATATATTATGTTTTTATCTACATGTACATGTTATTTATTTATATATATTACTAGCAGTTTAATCGATATTAAATTAGAATTTGAAAAGTGATATTTAAGATAAATGGAAACACTTGTTCACTTTCTATAAGTACATGATTCTTGATGAACCCCCAATTTTTAACTATATAAGCTCCGGATGTGTAGATGTTTCTCCCTAGAATGGTTGCATCTAATCTTCTCTAGGATGTTATTATTGAGGGGACACAAGCAAATGGCAGTTTTGTTTTCTATTGCATTCTATACATCGGTAAAATTATTATTACCCCCCCCCCCTCTTCCCCTTTCCCGTGCTTCTCCAGTTCCTACGGCCATGAGATTACAACCAGTTTTCCTCTCCGCTTAATACAATGTATAGATATGCATGAGATTTCAACAGATTTCCTTTTTTTTTTTTTTTAATTTTTCCTAGTATTTTCATATCTGTCATTTCTGTGGTTGCAAATTGGGATTTTTTTCTGGCATGGCATTCTTGTTTTATATACATGTATATGAGAAAGCAAAAACACAATGCGAACAACTGACGTGAAGTAGTCATTGGCAAAGATTTTTTTAAAAAATGCCCTCACATGTGTTCGCTACGAAGCAATCATTTTTGAATTTCATTTACAAGTAGATACCTTATAAAGAGCGAAAAAAAGTAAACGTATATCAAGTATAACGATGTATAAAAAAAAATACGAATATCGTGTGCCCGGAAGGGAAGAGGGTTTGAAAGGGTCTGTCTGTGAATGCTTAGTTCTACATGTAGCAGCAAACTTCGCAAAGTTAACACATACTTCCGTCCAAGTCCTTTGAAAGTGGGGGTAATCCCCAATCCTCCCACCCCTCCCTTTTTGAAGCTAAAAATATAACCCATACTAGTATCGTACTGAGAGTTGTACATAGAGCGGAGAAGTTATTCCATTAGTCCTTAATAAAGGCACAACTTAAGAAATGACTTAGGAAAAATTTAAGATAAGATTGTTTCGTGAAACAGCTGTGACAAATCTTAGGAACTTCCTAAATTATAACTTAGGCATATCTTAAGTTATGTCTTAAGACATATCTTAGGAAACGTTTGTGAAACAGGCCCCTGGATTTTAATTTGTCGTGGGGAATTGTTGTGTATAAAGTTGAAAAGTCGTAAGTTTTTAAGCTGTTGATTTTTGTAAAGTCTTGTGATTTCAAATTGTCGAAAAGTTCTTTAGAATTTTTAAGTATCCACATCTGATTTACACCACTTCTTGAATATATAGTTGTACAGTACTCTTGAAGTTTTTCCTTCACTACTGTCAATATTTTAGTGAGAAGTAACGAAAGAGGCTTGGTTGAACATTTACTGGAACCTGCAATGTATCTTTGTTTGTAAGGATTCTTATGAAGTTTCGGAATCCAATATATATAAGGTAGTTCAAATTCATTTTGGCTCTGTGGAATATTAAAAGTATTCAAAACTGACAGGTGATTTTGAAGAATTTCTTCCTTAGAAGTCAGTTTGAACATTTCAACCAAATAGTATCAAAGGAAGTTCGATTAATTAATTTGTAAATACCTATGATAGAATCATACACATTTAACATCATACGATTTATAAACGAATTCCCTTTTAGAACATTGACTTTTAAAACTTAAGATAATGATTTTAGAGAATATGCACCTTTAACATAAAATATTTAATAATATAAGGGCTATGCCTCGAACTGAAACTCGATAATTTTAAGTTTTATTGCAAGAAAAATGTGACTTTAATTTGTGCAAAAAACCATGTGAGTTTAAAAAGTGTGTTGAGCTGTATCTCTTTTGATTCGATACGCAAGGGCATGCTCTACGGATAAACAATTTCTAAGACGAGGTAAATGATTGACAAAGAAGTTGGTGAAACAAGAATTTCGTAAATTCTATGGTCGATACAATGATCTTGTCAGCAGATACAATTTACCATTAAGTCAAATGCTGATTGACGTTTTTAATACTAATTGTTAGTCCATTATCTATACACTGAACTGACGACGGATTTTTCCGTTACTTTCCGATCATGAGATAGAGCACACGGCGGGTGTGACCGGTCGGCAGGGGATGCTCACTCCTCCATAAGACCTGATCTAACCTCCGATGTTTTGGCGGTCCGTGTTTCCTCTGCTCCTATATAGTATCGTTTTATTGAATATTATTCGTTATCTCCATATGTTTCACTCGACATATTTCATATTTATGGAGGATCCTTCTTAGACCTCCTTCCAGCCTATGCTATCATGACGTCCTTGTAGATATCAGACCATAAAATATGCCAGGAGGGAGAGCTTTATTGTATGTATAAAGTCTTGTAATATCGGTTTAAGCCAAAGGTTTGCCTGGTCCTTCATAAAAGCTGCTGAGAGTGTATAGGATGTCTTTAATTGACTGCTGAAGTTACACTTGTCACAAATTAAAGTTCATGATTTGTTGGGTTTTGGGTCTTCTCCTTCCCATCCATGAAGAGAGCATAAAACGAGGACCCTGAAAATTCCAGAGGTGGTCTGAAGTACCTGAATATATTGTTGCACAGTACTCTTGAAGTTTCTCTTTTACTACTGTTAATATCTTTGTGAGGAGTAAAGAAAGAGGCTTGGTTGAACATTTATTGGAATCTGCTACGTGTCTTTGTTTGTTAGGATTCTTATGAAGTTTTGGAATCCAAAATATACCCGGTATATGCTAGTTCAAATACATTTTAGTTCATTGGGATATTAAAATATTAAAAACTGACATATGATATTGAAGAATTTCTTCCTTAGAAAAGGAACTATGGGTATAAGTTGGATTATCATTTGTAGAGTTAAATCCAAGTTCTTCTAAAATACAATTAAAATAATGGGCCTTACAAACGAAGACACTGTTTTTATCTGCTTTGTCAACAGGGACCAGTACGTACTGATCATGTTATCTATCTAATTCTTTTTTCACTTCTGGATTATTAAATACAGAATGATAGATGGTTTTCATATTGCCCCTCAATCTTTTAATACGCGACTTTAACATGGATTTGGTACAACTATTCTGACAACGTGTTAATGTCTTCCTTTTCACATCTGGTCCATCGCCTGGTGTAATCTTCAATAGAATCAATAATACTAGTATTTATGAAAAAAATTTTGTTCCGTTGTTAAGCAAAATTCAAGCAGGTTTCGTACATTGTCAATCATACCTGAAATCACTCTCCTTTGCTTTTTTCCTCAGCTAGTATATACAAGATTTCAACCATTTTGATAAATATGAAGAAGGATAACTCGTAACATTTTTCTTAACTCGTAACATTTTTCTTGAAACTCGAAGACTTTTATGTTCATTACTCTTTCAAAAGAAATTCACATTATTCATGTATAAGATTTTTAAAATTGTTTGGAAACAACCTGACAGTTTTATAGTAATTATTTATTCAATGTATCATCGGGACAAGAAACTCTTTCGAAGTAACTGTTTCGAGGAGAAGGGGGGTGTTTAGAAGGAGTTTAACGACTCGCAATCGATAGAAACATGCAGGATAGTTTTGACTGAGGTATTTGTCTGTAAAATTTAAAAAAAATTTAAATAAAATAAATAAATTTACAATTTTAATGAACAAAATACGTTGTACCTGCAAATATATGCATAAAGCTGCTTGTTTCTAGCTCACAGAAACGACAGAGTCTGACACATCTGATTCATAGTTGAATATTTTACTTGATAAAATCTTATTTTACTCTACAAACTAAGCTCTGTTAATAAACGTAATGACTTGAACTTTTCTATCGTCAACTTTCCTTACTTATGCAGCAATATACCTTCATCACCTGCATACGGAGTTTATATAACTCCGTATAAATAAGGGAAGTTGACGGAGTTGTCTGTCCGCCTGTCTAGCTATCTGTTTGTCCGCAAAAACTTTACCATTGCTCATAACTTTTGACTGGGTGGGACTATGGCTTTCATATTCTACAAGTGTATTCCTTGTGACACGACCTTTATTTGGGTACCAGCAAATTTGACCTTTTGACCTTGACCATGGGAGTTTGACACACTTTTATTCAAAAATATTAAAGGTTTACTTTGGCCATAACTTTTTGAACGGTTGTTGGTAGGACTTTCGTACTTCAAAAATGCATTGTTTGTGACAAGACCTTTCAATGGAAATCTTTGACCTTGACCTTAAAGATTGACCAACTTTGAAATATCTTTAACCTTGGCCATAACTTTGAAACGGTAAAGGCTAGGGTTTTCATACTTTATATTTGCAATCCTTATGACAAGATCTTTCATTGGATACCAACCACTTTGACCTTTATCCTTGACCTTGAAGTTTGACCTACTTTTAAATTACTTTAACCTAGGCCATAACTTTTGAACGTTAGGACAAGGGCCCTCATGCTTCACATATGTGATCCTTGTGAGTTTAAGACGTTTCATGTATTGGATGCCAACAACTTTGATCTTGAAAGTGACCCTTGAATTTGACCTACTTTTGAAAAACTGTAACCATAGCCATAACTTTTAGACAAGTGGTGTTAGAGCTTTCATATTTCACAATTGTATTTCTTGTGTGCCTTACGTACTTTGGATATTGATTTGCATTTGAAAAAGTTTAATCTTCACTATGTTGCCATACGGGGGCATCAGTGTTTCACAAACACATCTTGTTTTTTTTATTGTTTTTGTTTTGGTTTGACAAAGGTGGGTCGGGTAAGGTGATATTGTGACAGGAAAAGAGATAATATTAATAAATTAATGTTTAAAAGGGAAGATATATGTATCTGTCCACAATATCTGACATTTTCCAAGCTATTTTACTATTTTGATATGTTTCTTTATTGGGGCGAGAGAAAAAAAACGTATACATAAAAGGCCTGGAAAATGTCAGATATATTGGACTATAGAAATGTAGTATTAGCAAAGCCTGTCACTGGTCTAAAGAGACTAGAAGGTACAGGCGGAGAGGGGGTGGGTGTTTGTGAAAAAGTGATGATGCCCCCGAACTGCAACATAGAGAAGGTAAATTTTCTCAAGTGCAAATCAAACATGTTGCCTTCTCACAAGAAATACAAATGTGAAATACAAAACCCTAGATCCACTGTTCAAAAGTTATGGCCAAGGCGGACGAGACTTTTAAAGGTAAGTCAAACTTCGGGGTCAAGGTTAAAGGGTCAAGATTGTTGCTTTCTAAAGGAAGTCCTTGTCACAAAGATTTTACATTTGTGAAGTATAAAAGCCATAGCCTTAACCGTTCAAAAATTACTGTCGAAATCAACGTTTTCTTTAAAATACGTCAAACTTCAAGGTCAAAGGGTCAAAGTTGTGGGTGTCCAATGAAAGGTCTTGCCACAAGGATTATAGATGTGAAGTATGAAAGTCCCAGCTCTTACCGTACGGCTTGGATTGAAATTATTTAAAGTAAGTCAAACTCCAAGTACAAGATCAAAAGGTCAAAGTTGTTGGTATCCAGTGGAAGGTCTTGTCACAAAGAATACATAATTATGTGAAGCATGAAAGTCCTAGCAACAACCGTTCAAAAGTTATTGTCAAGTAGGTCAAACTCAAAGGTCAAAGGGTCAAAGTTGTTGATATCCATTAGAACGTCTTGTCACAAGAATTATATATTTGAAGTATTATTATTATTATTCTTTATTTACTTAATACATATCTATTATCACATTTTTCTTAAAGTATAATACAGAAAAACAGATTAATGTATTATGGCGGTTCTATACATGAAAAAAAACAGCGCCTAGTTTATAGAACGAATTCGCTTGGTATGACGCTTCTGTACATGAAACATAACAATCTTTGTAACACATAATGAATGCAAACATACAGATATAAAGATAGGACATACGAAGAATGAATCACAACATCTTTTCATTTCTTAACTTTAAAGCTAAATGCAAAAAATTACCGAAATTACAAAGCTCAGAAAAATCCTAGCTCTTACCGTTCAAAAGTTATGACCAAGGTTATAGTTTCGAATTTTGGTGTAAAAGTGTGTCAAACTCCAAGAACAGGGTCAAGAGGTCATTTATCGACCATAGAACTTACAAAATGAGCGCTTTAAACGAGACTGCTGATATTCTTGTTTCATCAACTTGTTTGTCAATTATTTATCTCGTTTTAGAAATTATACATACGTAGAACATGCTCTTGCGTATCAAATCAACTGAGCTATATAAACTCCGGATGCTCAGTTGATTCGATAATCGATACGCAAGAGCATGTTCTACGTATAAACAATTTCTAAAATGAGGTAAATTATTGAAAAACAAGTTGATGAAACAAGAATTTCAGATGTCTCATTTAAAGGCATCATTTCGTAAGTTGGTCGATACGATAAACTTGTCAGCAAATACAATTTATCATTGAGTCAAATGCTGACTGACACTTTTTCATACCAATTGTTAGTCCATTATTTATACACTGAATTGACGACGGATTTTTATGTTATTTCCCGATTATGACAAGGAGCACACGGCGGGTGGGACCGGTCGGCATGGGATGCTCACTCCTCCATGGGACCTGATCCCACCTCCGATGTTTTGGCGGTCCGTGTCTGCTCCTATTTTGTATTGTTGCATTGAATATTGTTCGTTATCTCCATATGTTTCACTCCACACATTTCATATTAATGGTGGATCCTTCTTAGACCTCCCTCCACTTTGTTCCATCATGACGTCCTTGCAGATAAAAGACCATAAAATATGCCAGGAGGGAGAGCTTTATTGTTTGTATGAAGTCTTGTTATATCGGTTTAAGCCAAAGGTTTGCAACGTCCTCCCAGAAAGCTGCTGAGAGTTTATAGGATATCTTTACACTTTTCACATATTAAAGTTCATGATTTGTAGGGGTTTTTTGCCTTCTCCTTCCCATCCTTGCTTTTCCAGTATTCTTTTAGCACACTCTGTACGCGTTTCGTGTCTCTACTTCCATCTGTCATGTGTTGGAGTGAAGATGATAGAGATAATGAACAGTGATTGAGCTCAAAAAGTCTATAGACAATACAAATCTGTGAAGAGAGATTAAAACATGGACCATTGGAAATTCCAGAGGTGGTCTGAAGTACATATATATTGTTGCACAGTACTCTTTGAAGTTTTTCTTTCACTAATGTCAAAATATCTTAGTGGTGAGTAAAGAAAGAGGCTTGGTTGAACATTTACTGGAACCCGCTATGTATCTTTGTTTTTTAAGGATTCTTATGAAGTTTCGGAATCAAATATGTATATGGTAGTTCAAATTCATTTTGGTTATTTGGGTTATTAAAATATTCAAAACTGACATATGATTTTGAAGAATTTCTTCCTTAGAAAGGGAACTATGAGTATAAATTGGGTTACCACTTGTAGAATTAAATCCAAGATTTTCTTAAATAAATGAGCCTACAAAAACAAGGACAATGTTGTTACCTGCTTTGTCAGCAGGGACCAGTACGTACTGATCATGTTATCTATCTAATTTTTTTTTCACTTCTGGATAATTGAATACGGAAGAATAGATGGTTCATATTGCTCCTCAATCTTCTAATATGCGATTTTAACATGGATTTGGTACATCCAGCTATTCTGACAACGTTTTAATGTCTTCCTTTTCACATCTTGCCCATCGCCTGGCGTAATCTTCAACAGAATCCATAATACTTGTATTTATGAAATAAATTCTGTTCTGATGTTTAAAAAAATCAAGCAGGTTTCATACATTATCAATCATACCTGAAATCACTCTCCGTCTGCTTTTTCCCAGTTAGTATATACATATACAAGATTTCAACCATTTCGAGAAGTATCAAGAAGGGTAACTCGTTACATTTTTCTTAAAACTCGAAGACTTTTATGTTTATTTCTCTTTCAAAAGAAATTTACATTATACATAAGATTCTTAAAATTGTTTGGAAACAATCTGACAGTTTTATAGTAATTATTTATTCAATGTATCATCGGGATAGGGAACTCTTTTGTCTCGAAGAGAAGAAGTTGTAGTAGAACGACTCGCCATCGGTAGAAAATGCAGGATAGATTTGACTAAGGTATCTGTTGCCTGTAAAATTTATAATAAAAAAAAAAATTTACAATGAACAAAATACTGTGTGCCTGCAGATATATGCATAAAGCTACTTGTTCCTAACTCACAGAAACGGCAGAGTCGACCTGTTTCATACTTGGATGTTTCACTCAGTTGATAAAATATGATTTTACTCTGTTAATAAACGTGATGACTTGAACTTCTAGATCGTCAACTTTCCTTACTTAAGCAGCAATATACCTTCTTCACCTGCATACGGAGTTTATATAGCTCAGTTGATTCGATATGCAAGAGCATGCTCTACGTATGTACAATTTCTAAAACTGGATAAATTATTGGCAAACAAGCTGATGAAACAAGAATATCAGCAGTCTCGTTTAAAGGCATCATTTCGTATGTTCTATGGTCAGTACAATGACCTCTTGACCCTGACCTTGGAGATTGGCACACTTTTACACCAAAATCCAAACTTTAACCTTAGCCATAACTTTTGAACAGTAAGAGCTAGGGTTTTTATACTTCTAATGTATAATTCTTGTGACAAGGTCTTTCATTCTATACCAACAACTTTGATCCTTTGACCTTGACGTTTGACCTACTTTGAAAAACTTTAACCTTGGCAATAACTTTTGAACGGTTGGTGCTAAGACTTTCATGCTTCACATATGTATTCTTTGTGACAAGACATTCCATTGGATACCAACAGCTTAGGCCTTTTGATCTAATCCTTGGAGTTTTACCTACTTTTAAATAGTTTTAATCCTAGCCGGACCGTAAGAGTTAGGGCTTTCAAACTTCACATATATAATCCTTGTGGAAAGCTAAGACCTTTCATTGTACAACCACAACTTTGATCCTTTGACCTTGTAGTTTGACCTACTTAAAAAAAAAAGCTTTAACTTCGGCTTATAAAAACTTTTGAACAGTTAGGGCTATGGCTTTTATACTTCACAAATGTAATCTTTGTGACAAGGTTCTTTAGAAACCAACAATCTTGACCCTCTGACCTTGACTCCGAAGTTTGACTTATCTTTTAAAAGACCCGTTTATCTTGGCCATAACTTTTGCACAGTGGTGCAAGGGTTTTATATTTCACATTTGTATTTCTTGTGAGAAGGCCTTACTTTGGGTATCAACATGTTTGATTTGCATTTGAGAAAATTTAACTTTTGCTATGAATCCATACAGGGGCATCAGTGTTTCACAAACATATCTTGTTTTTATGTCTCTCTAGCAAATGATTTTACTGAAATATTTTATATTATTTTTAACGCATTGCATAATTTACTGTCCTATTTTTTCTTCTTTTTTACCCCCTCCCCCCCCCCTATTCCGCCTCTACCTTCCTACTCTCTTTAGACCAGTGACAGGCTTTGATCATACTACCTTTTTACAGCCCAATATGTCTGACGTTTTCCAGGCTTTTTCTCTCTCGTCCCATTAAAGTAAAATATCAAAATAGTAAAATAACCTGAAAAATGTCAGATACTTCGGACAGATATCTTCCTGTTTAAACATTAATTTATTATAATATCACCTCTTTTCCTGTCATCTTATTACCTTACCCGACCAACCTTTGTTAGACCAAAACAAAAACAGCATACGTATGGGAACAAAATGAAGATTAAACTTTTTTAAAATGCAAACTCACTGGAAATACAATTCTGAAAAATGATAGCAGGCCAAGGTTAAAGTTTTTCATGAATACGGGAATTTCAAAGGTCAAGGTCAAAAGATGAAGGTAATTGGTATCCAATGAAAGGTCTTGCCACAAAAAATATATATGTAAAACATGGAAGAGCCCTAACCCTAACCCTTCAAAAGTTATGGCCAAGGTTAAAAATTTTGAAAAGTAGGTCAAACGTCAAGGTCAAAGGTCTGCTATCAAATGAAAGGTCTTGTCAAAAGGATTAAATATGTAAAGTATGAAAGCTCTAGTCCTAACCCTTTAAAAGTTATGGTTAATGTTTGCTTTTTAAAAGTAGTCAAACTCCAAGGTCAAGGTCAAAGGGTCAAAGTTCTTGGTATCCAATGAAGGGTTTTCTCACAAGAATTACATATGTGAAGTATGAAAGCCCTGTCCCTTAGCATTCAAAAGTTATGGCCAAGGTTAAAGTTTTTTTCATAAGTACTTAAATATCCAAGGTCAAGGTCAAAGATCAAGATTGTTGGTATCTAATGAAAGGTCTTTCCACAAAGAATACATATTTGAAGTATAAATATTCTGGTGTCTACTGTCCAAAAGATATGGCCAAAGTAAAAGTTTGGAATTTTTGTGTAGAAGTGGGTCAAACTCCAAGGTCAAGGTCAAAAGGTCAAATTTGGTGGTACCCAAAGAAATGTCTTGTCACAAGAAATACACATGTAAAATATGAATGTCATAGCTCCACTAAATTTAAAGTTATGGGCACGGCTAAAGTTTTTGCGGACACAGAGTCAGACAGACACGACAAAAACTATATACCCATGAAACTTTGTTTACGGGGGCATAAAAAACATAGGCGTCGGAAGCAAATTGAAAGTGGCAGGAGGGGGCTAATTGGAAGTGGGGCTAAACCAACAAAAAAACGTAAATCCCAATTTCCAATGCCTTTATAATGTATATTTTTGCAAAAAAAAAAAAAAAAAAAAAAAAAAAATGGGAAGGGGGCTTAGCCCCCTTTGCTCCCCCGGATCCGACGCCTATGAAAAAAGCAAGATGTGTTTGTGAAACACTGATGCCCCAGTATGGCAACATAATGAAGATTAACTTTCTCACATGCAAATCAATTATATTAGTATCCCATGTAAGACCTTCTCACAAGAAACACAATTGTGAGATATGAAAGCTCTAACACCACTTGTTTAAAAGTTAAAAGTTTAAAGTTTTTCAGAAGTAGTCAAACTTAAGGGTCAAGGTCAAAGCTTTGGTATCCAATGCATGAAAGGTCCTGCACAAGGATCACATATGTAAAGTATGAAGGCCCTTGCCCTAGCGTTCAAAAGTTTTGGCCTAGGTTAAAAAAAATAATTAAAAGTAGGTCAAACTCCAAGGTCAAGGCAAAAGGTCAGAGTGGTTGGTATCCAATGAAAAGTCTTGTCAAAAGGATTGCAAATGTGAAGTTTGAAAACCCTAGCCTTTACCGTTCCAAAGTTTTTTAAAAGTAGGTCAATCTGTAAGGTCAAAGATATCCAATGAAAGGTCTTGTCGCAAACAATACATATGTGAAGTATGAAAGTCCTAGCAACTACCGTTCAAGAAGTTATGGCCAAAGTAAAACTTTAATATTTTTGTGTAAAAGTGTGTCATCTCCATGGTCAAAGTCAAATTTGCTGGTGCCCAAAGAAAGGACTTGTTACAAGGAATACACCTGTGGAATATAAAAGTCATGTCCTCACCCAGTCATCTTAACTTTTGTTTGAGCAATGGTCAAGTTTTGCGGACAAATAGACAGACAGCTAGACAGACGACAGACATGGCAAAAACTACATACTCCCGAATCTTCGATTACATGGGGGCAAAAGAGAGAGAGAGAGAGAGAGAGAGAGAGAGAGAGAGAGAGAGAGAGAGAGAGAGAGAGAGAGAGAACTTGAATATTTTTTTGTGACTGAAGGTTGTGATATCGATTTTACATTTCGCGCGCTTGCGCCAGTACCCGGATGTAATCAAGGTGTCGTTGTTTTATCACCTGGGGCCCACTCGATTGGGACCCTTCTAGAAGCAGAAGGGAATGTCAGAAGGGTTGGAATATATATGTCTCAATCGAGTGTTCAGATGGGTATAGGATATGGCTGAATGTAATAAGTTGCTATGTTCTGCAATTACTGCAGCTGTGTCTGTTTTAGAACTTGAATCCCTTAAATCATTAAATGTCAGGTCTAAAAGGCGAAGAGATGACTTTGTTTTTCTTACATGCATTGCAAGCTCAGCTGTGTAAGTACACTGATTATTATAATAATTTTTTTAATTAAATCGTAAATACTAAGAGTGGAGAATATATATATTGAAGAACATTCAACTGAAAAAAATATTTTTTTTTTCTTAAAAAAGTTAGTCATGAAAATATTATATATTTTCAATTCATTATAAGGGTTTTATGCTTATTTTTGCAGAGTAAGAGATGATATTAGCAAAATAGATGGTTATGTCGAAAGAATTATTCCAGGGTATTTGCCTGAACAGTTCAAAAGACATTTCAGATTATCAAGGGAGACATTTGAATGTATTTTAAATCATTTGGCAAATTTTCCAACTCTACAAAGAAGACAGCTGACAGGCGGAAGGTTACAAACAACTCTAGAAAAAGACCTCATGATGCTGCTTTGGTACTTAGGTACGCAGGAAACTGTTCGGTCGATCTCGGATAGATTTGATGTGCAAGAATCCACATTGATACTTCATAATAGAAGACTCATAGATGTGTTTAGTGATTTGTGCAAGAAATTTGTAAAGTGGCCAAACAATGAAGAAAAACAAGAAATTATGTCAGAATTTGAGGATTTCAGTGGGTTTCCGGGAGTCATTGGGGCAATTGATGGAACTCACATATCCATAACACCGCCAGGTGAAAATGAGGCCGATTACGTGAATCGAAAAAGTTTTCATTCAATTATCCTACAAGCTGTTTGTCGACACGACCGACTATTTATAGATATTAACTGTGGATGGCCTGGGCGTGTCAATGATGCCAGGGTCTTCAGGAACTCTGAAGTTTTTCAACACCAGGCACAGCTATGTGGACCACATCATCTTGTAGGAGATGGAGCATATCCACTCTCATCATACTTGATGAAACCATACCGGGAAAGTCAGAATATGACAGCAGCTGAAAAGATGTTCAACAAAACACTTTGCAGAGCCAGGGCCATCATTGAACATGCTTTTGGTGTATTAAAAGGAAGATTTAGGCGCCTGCAACACATTAACATGGTTGATATAGAATACATTGTGAAAACTGTTGTTGCCGCATGTGTGTTGCATAATATTTGTATCATCAATCATGATGAGCTTGGTGAAAACTTTGAAACAGAGGTAGATGAACAAGTTTTTGCTGAAGTTACTACAGACACTGCTGAAGGTAACTTGAAACGGCTGTTCCTAACCAGACAACTTTCAAATGTCCAGCCATGACTTTAACAGTTTTTTGTATACATGCATCATTATATTCCTATGTGTTAAGCAAATACAAGATTAAAATATGTTATATTGCAGAAAACATTTATGCCCTTGTCAATTTGTATGAATAAATGTTCCAAAGACAGAAAATCTTATTATTTTTTTCAATATTCTATATTTGATGTTATATATTTGTCTACATAATTGTCTAACTGTCCTTCAACTCTCCTGATGACTGATGCTTGGTCTTTCAGAATTCACATGCAAAGCCTGGGAGAAAAAAGGCCAACTTTAAGATTTTTTTTAAGTCAGAGGTCAAGGTCACAAAGAATAATTGGCATAACAAAGATTGTTTGAAAACAATTTATATTTTCTTTGAAAAAGTAACAAAATAGTAACAAAACAATGTAAAAATAAAAAGTATGTAACACATTCCTTGTTGCATAAATAATAACAAAGGTCAGACAAACTGATAAGTACAATGCCTACATTTTTTGCTTTGAAATATGTACTCAATACAGTTCAAACTGATTATAACGTAATATCAAAACCTTGATATTTGCACCATTGTGTAAACAAAAACTTTGAAATTTGAAAAGTAAAATAATTGACATTGTCAACTTAAAATGTCCCTCTTATTACAGATATGTATTTCTATTTCTTTGCAGCTGCAGCTACATCTGCAAGTTTGCCGATAATATTGGTTAGCCCTGAGAGCATTTTCATGTGCTCTTTATGCATGGTTTCTGTTCGTCGTTTCTCCTCTTCCTCTTTCTTTCTGTCCTCTTCTTCCCGTTTCTCTGTATAGCATTTTAAGAAATCTATCAACTGAGATGCACCTGTTGTGGGATGATGTTTCCTTTTTCTTCTCCCTGCCTTCCCTTCATTAATTTGTTTTTCATTGTCTTTACTTGATTCTGATTCAGTATTGGTCACACTTTCACTGCTACTACTTGTACTAGGACTTGGTTCTTTAGCTCTGCTCCTGTGGGTTGTAGCTGTAGAGGTACTTGTTGAACTACTTTCAACAACAAAAGCTGGGGTTGTAGAGTGCGAATTTCCAAAGATATCATCCATTTCGGAGGCAAATTCGTATTCCTTTCGCTCAGTGCCTGTTCTTTTCTTTGCATCCTTGTACTTTCTGTACGACGAAAGCATTGTTTTGAATCTTCCTTCGACTTGCTGGCTGGTGAATGTGGATTTTGTTTCTGTATTGATCACTTGGCAAATCTCCCTCCATAAAGTTTTCTTCTTCTGTGTTGGGCTATTGAATTGCAAATATCTCTCTCTATATTCATGTAGAAGAACTTTTGATCTCTCTTTGGTCCAGGAATTAGTTGGAGTGATAGCCTCTCCACTAGGTTTTGGATCCTCTACAAAATTGAAGAAAATTAGAGAAACTTAGCAACACATAATTCAGTAGTGCTCAATCATATATACCGGTAGTATTATAACAACACTGGAGAACTTATTTCACAGATTAAGAGGAATACATCTAAGTTGTCACTGTTTAGCTTATGAAATGTAGTAATAAAATGCTACTTCCTTGCGGCATGGCCTATACTTTATCCATATTTGAAATTGATTGTAATTATGATCAAAGAAATATTTATTTTTATAATATTAAATTACATTTAAAAAAGGTTTTTTAAAAAATGTCAATTTTCATTGTTTTGTACCTATTATATTTACATATTATATAATATATCTACAACATACATACCAATTTCGTTTTCCTCGGATTCTTCTTGTTCCTGTTCTGCTACTAAATTTAATACGAACTCAATTGTATTGGGATCTAAAAATAAAAACCGCATTCACATTATAAACACAAAAGAAATTAATATAATTAGACATTTTCAAACGGAATTTACGGATAGAAAAGTTCTTCTAACTTGATTTTAATGATGGACACAATATTTACCATTATTCTGAAGGTTCTCGAGAGTCTTATCATCCAGTTGTAAAAGAACATTTTTTCCATCGTCCGTTGTGAATGATACTGTGTTTGTTCCCAATGCTTCTTGATTGTTACTACACAACAGAAAAAAATGCCACTTAAGAGAAATTATCCTTCAAACATTATCACAAATACTTTTTGCAACTTTATTTTGCTTCTAATTTGGTTTATTTACAATAAAAAAAGTTTACAGAGTTTTCACCCACCTGTTCGCCGCCATACCGGAATGCTTCGTCTAAATAAACCTTCCCTCTCTAACGCGGGAGGCTGGGAAGGCCTTCTTAGTCTAACCTTCCGAACCAATCGAGCGGACAGAATGATTATTCCGGAATAAGAAGGGTCCCAATCGAGTGGGCCCCAGTGCATCGAATGTGCTGTGGCGTCGACGCGCCTTAATAACATCATGTAATCAATAGAAAAATATTATGTGATCTTTGAGGCATAACCATTTTAAACTGCTGGTAGACAACAGCGCCAACTGTAGCATACTAAGGGAAGAAAGCAGATGTAAAATCCAGGTAATTTAGCGGCATTAGTTACACACCTGAGTAAACTCGGAATTGTTATTACGATAACGTTTGACAGATAAGGCTGAGGTAATTTGTTGACAGCTTTTGTTGCAGTAAACAGAATGCTATAAATAATTAGAATGAGACAGATATTGATGATAGCAATAACTTATAGGTAAGGCGCAAATATTCTGTAGCTTTGAATTTATGGTGGTACACTTGCATACCAAAAGATTTTGGTGAAAGAAAAAAAAATAATATTCTCTGCCTTGTCATTGAAAATTGTTTATAGTGTACCATTAAAATTTACTGGTATATTATAACAAACTTTCAACGGCAAGACTCGGAATAAATTAATTAAAGGAATATTTAGTGAAAACGATTCTTTATGAATGAATTTAACTATACCCTGTTCTCTTGGTTATTAAGGTATTTCCTGGTATTATCTCCATGACATTCCTCAATATGTATATGTAATGAATGATCCAATCACTTGTACTCATAATATCATTATGTCAGAACTAATTTAATGTGACCCTTTGAGTTTATCTTTTTGTGCTTTTATTTATAAAACTTAGATATTTTAGCATTGAAATAATTTGACCCATACTTAAATTGAAAACAAGAATAGATTTAGCTTTCTAAACCAAGAACATTTTAGATTCCCACCCACTTACCTATATGATTTATGATAGCACTTGAAAAAGAAAGTAAAGAATATTTACTATGAAGGCTAAGTGCAGATAATGTGCAGTTAAATGTAGATGAGGACTGGGTGCATTAATCGATGCAATGATTCAAAAGAAAAAGGACCCATTGAATTTTTATATTTTCCCTGCAAAATCTTCATTCAGTATAATTAAGTTTTATAATAAGAAAGAATCTACTAATAAGTTGAAAGATAATGCTATTTTTTCCAATCCATTCATCTCGATATTATGTCAATAAACAATATATCATGAAAAACCCAAATGAATACTAGCTTAGTATAGCTATCATAGTATATGGTATGTATTTTAGAGCTGTCTTCTTAAAATGAAATGCTAAAATTCTCAAATGACATAACTTGTGATCTAAATCCCTACATAGTGATTGCTTCTATTTTTAAGATTTATGAATGGATCATCAAGATTGTGCTTAATTGCTGTGAAAGGGAGGGGTCAGACATAACTTGAAGAATCAGACATAACTTGAAGAATGTGTTATTTTTACTTTATATACATATTAAAGAGTGTGCAAGTTTAGTTAATTGGAAAAAAGACGGTGATTGAAAGAAGATTATATGGGGTGAATGCATGATGATTACTTAAAGATGCTTGCATGGATTTTTACCTATTTTAAAAAACTTAATTTTTCATTAGTCCAAAACAGATTAAATTAAACGGCCTTACCCAGTAAAATGTAAATAAAAGGTGTCAATAAAATATGTTAATCTAATTTTTAAGGTCATATTTTATCTAAGATACGTACATATTACTTCACAGCACATGATAAAAGAAATATTTATTTTGAATAAATATAATTAAACACAATACATTCATCTAAAGATAACAATAAATATTTTCCCTAGGTCATTAGTGTGCTCACAGGATCATTTGGATGCTGAATTTATCACGTTAGGTGGCCATGAAAAACCTTCCATTCAGACTTCATTAGCTCTGCGACTTTTGTGATAATACTTGAACGGGTCATTTGTAATTGACTCTTTCAGTTCCAAACTCATTACTGTCTTATCCATGTCATCTACATTGGATGCCAAACGTTTCAGCTAAAAATGTGTTGTGTCAGGTGCAGCATCTAGACAGATATCAGAATCGGTGTAGACAGGTTGATATTGTCTCGGGGGAGGGGGTTAATTAGAATAACCCCCCCCTTTGGAAAGCATTCTGGGTAATTTGCACAGCTTTGGATCAAAACCATTGGATTTTTGAAACTCATTTGTAAGTAGTTAAATTTTACTCAAAGTTGTGAAATATACCAGAATTAAAAAAAAGCATATTATGTGAACTGAAGAATTTATGAAACACTGAGTTTTCATGGTCAGAAAAGGTGGAATATTGTATTAATATTTTCTGAATTCAGTTCAACTCTGAATTTTTAGAATACTGAGTTAGAGTAATTTTAAAAGTTACTAATTCATGGTTATATACACTAAGTCCTTCACAATATTCATGTTTATTTTTTAAAGACAGTGCCCTGCTTTAAAAAACAATCAGATTGATAATTGTTTTTTTTTAGAATTTATTTGATTCCTTAAAAATTATTTTTATTCATGTTTAATATGTTTTGATATGCAATGAAAGTGACTAAACAATAGGCATTAAGCTGTTGATTTAAGCTGTGTAATACCTTTTCCTGCAAGTCAGTCATTGACTTCAGAGTCATTGCTCTAATAATTACAGACATAATTACTTCATTTGTAAAGTTTGAATTTATCACAATCTTACAGCCCAAAGAGCAGATTAAACAGGCAGACAGATTTTCAAAATATTATATCTATCTTTCTTTTCCCCGTAAGAGAATTTTTCCCTAAATTAATCTTTTTA